TCTTCTACCGCATAGATATAAAGTATTTGCTATGAAATACGTGCTATGTGTTTATATGTTGTTTGTTTACTTGAGATGGATGTTGAACAAATGTTTTATACAGGTTTTTAAATAATTTAAATTATATATATGTAATTTATATCTACAAATATGTTGGGTAGAACATGGGTAGATTAAATAGTTGGTGTGTGATGAAAGATGAGTTTAAGAATGAGACGAAAGATGATATAGATCGTGAGATGTGGGTGATAGGTGAAAAATGAGTGAAACCCTTACCCAAACGATGGACCCTGTCATTCAGCAGAGTAGAGATGACAACCACAGACTATTCTAGACAGTCCAGTGGAACACTAACAAGCTCGCAACTTGTAGGTGTTGTGGACTTGATGTTCACCGGTGTACTCTAAAAACCCGGGCAACTATAGATTTAATGCCTCATAATAAAACGATGGTAGCTATGGATTTAGTAGAGTGTACATGAATCATGGTAGCTATGGATTTAGTACGGTGTAAATGAACGATGGTAACTATGGATTTAGTACTATGTAGATTAACCTAAGGCAGCAATGGGCTTTGTGCCAATTCCTTAGGTCAATCCTTAGGAACGAATGAAGGAAGGATGGTCGATTCTTAGGATAAAACCAAAAAAAAAAATATAAAGAAGAAAATGGGGATGGGTAAATGGGTTGATTGTTTGATGATCTAATATAATAATTATATTATTGTGGGTTGAAAACCCTATATGCTCACCAGGCTCCCAAGCCTGACCCACTTAGTTTTCTTTGTATCATAGGTATCAATATGAAGACATATTTCACTGAGAGATTAAAGGAGATGTAAATCATTAGTGTAAATAAATGTAAGTTCTGTTTATGCTTATGTGTCTGTATTGGAACATGACATCCCGAGATTTTGTCATATAATGAAAATACTTTTCTTTAAGAAATGCTTTGATAAATTTTTATCATATTTTGTTTTGGGGACAAATTCCGCAACAATTTTCTTTAAACGATTACTCTGATTTTAAAAACAAAGCATAAACAAATCGGTCTTTTCTGGCCGTGAAATTGGGGATGTCACATGTATCCTTGAATTGGAAATGATCTCATGGGGAGGGACTAAATGTGTTAAGTGAGCATAAGTTTGAAAGCAACACGGGACTTAAACCCGTCATTCCCTTCCCTCCTATTTTTCTTTAAACATGTCTAACCCTAACCCTAGCCTCATTTTCCAGCCGCCACCTTTGAAACTTCAGCCGCCACTTGCAACACAAGCTCCGTCGCCATCGCTACAGTATCGTCGAACGTCGCCCTCGCGACGCCTGCTGCTGGAGATGTCGTGGGTAACCAAAGGATCGTCGAGGACTGGGGAATCACGTTATGTTCTTTGAGTGGGTGTCGACAATGTATGGGAAGCTATCAGTAAGGTAAACCACAACCCACTTTCATCTCTCTCTCTCTCTCTCTCTCTCTCTCTCTCTCTCTTTCTCGTCTCCCTGCCGTCCCTCGCTGTGTTGATGCCGTAGACACCATTGTTGCCGGCGGTGTTTTTTTTGGCAACTGATCTCGTCGTTCCGACGATGTCAGCCAACCAGGAGGTGGTCGGACCTTTATGTGTTCACATATATATGTTGTTTATTGTGGCCTTCAAGTTGTTTATGAAATTGATGGCCAAAAAACCCACCACCACCATTGGAAATGGTGGCTGCCGCCATAACATTCTTTTCTACCGCCATCAGCCACCGTAAGGAGGTGGCTATGTGCATGATTTGGTGTGTGTGTGGGCCTAGTTCATGATTTTAATGTGTATGGATATTCTTGAACAGGAAAAAATGAAGAAAAATCAGAACCGCCGCCTGTTGTCGCCGTTCCGCCACCTGCTGCCGCCATTCCGCCGCTACTAGCCGCCATCTCGGGTGACTGTGGGCTTTTGGGTGCGTTTGGATTGATGTTGGAGTGCTTTTGATGTTGTGTTGTCCCATAACCACCACCACGCGCCACCGCCGGCCACCGCAATGGTGGTTGCGTGTGTGCGTTTATTCTACTTTTATGGAGTTTACGGCCCAATGACCATTTCCTTAGGGGTTTACGGGCGTAAACTTTATGAGGGAATGGTTTCTTTGGTGTTTAAGGTTCCTACTTTGATGGTGGTTAGTTATAGACATTATTCCAAGCTATAAGCGGTGTTTAAGGGTAAATTTAACACCTTAAATGGTGTTCACACTCTTGGACCGTAAACTCATGTTTACTCCTCAAAAGACAAGGTTTTGGTGTTCTAAGCTCATACATGCAAGTCCCTAAGTCATACCTAAGCACTAGGAGTGATTTGGAAGGGTTTGGGGGATTCAAAACCCCATTTATGAGTGTTTGCGGTCCAAGAGTGTTCTTGGGCCGTAAACACATGATTTTGAGGGTTTTGGGTGATTTAAACACGAATTTTCATGTATATCAAGCTAAACAACAAGCTAGGATAGATTACTTACGATTACGGAGCTCGAAAGGGGCGTTTTTGGATCGAAATCAGCTTTGTAGAGAGAGTGTGGAGAGAGGGAGTGTTATGAGGGTGGAAAAGTTTCAAATGGAGGTCCACTCACCCTTATATAGGGGTTGAGTTTGTGGCCCGGTGGAAATCTACCCGATACCGACGTTAAACGGGGCTTATGGTCGTACCCGATTAAGTGGTCGTAACTCGACGTGGTCGTAATCTAAAAACTTTTCAAAGAGGTACCGAGGATGTTTCACGTGTTTCTACTTCGTTTGGACACTCATGAAGCCATAATAAAAGTCCCAATTTAATTAACCTAATTCAAAAGGTTAACGGAACAATTTAATAAAGCGAGTTTTATTAGCGGAAAAGGGTTTACTGCGACGGGATAAATTCCAGGTTGTCACAAAAAAACAAGCCAAAGACACCAGTATCAGCCCAACAAATAACCACAATCCTATTAGGGTCCATCTTCCTACAATCCCGAGTCGATTTCCCCAGCAATCCTAAATCCCACAGGAAAATCCGACATAAAAACACTACCACCTTATCATAAGCATGTATGTTATTAGTAATCCTCCCTAACGCACCTTTCACGACATTGTGCCCGAAGAAGAACAACGTCTTGAGATTGTTACGTGTGAATCTTTGCAAATGATCAATCTATTTTCTGTCGACTTGCTCTTGGATTAGGTTATCGGTGAAAAGTTGAAGGTTTATCGCAAAGGATCTGTGGCGTCGCATTCTAGAGGGATACGAAACCCTAACCTCCTCCCTGTGCCGGTGGTGGTGATGGTTCAGGATCTCGTCAGAATCGAAGCTCATCTTGGAACGAATAACATATACTTCTTATTTGGTACAACTTGAGGTTCTCGTCTTCATCTTCTTGTTTGCTGATTTCCTTTGTACAATGGTGGTGTCGGTGTTCTTGCACAGGTGTCGACGGTAATGGATGAGGGAGAAACGAGAATGAGCAGGTGGGTGGGGGGAAAAGGTTCGCGTTAGGAGTGATGAATGTAATTTGAGAGAGATACCCTTTGCATTTTTTTAATAGAATAAGATAAAAATATCATAAATGGTTTCTGTGGTAGTGAAACGACGAAAATACCCTTCAGTTAACAGACAAATCTTAACGGAGTTAACAATAATGACCAATCGTCAAAAGTTTTAAAAGCACATGGACCATCTATGATGTTTTTAAACCACAGGAATTAAACTTCAGATTTTGAGAAACCACAGGGACCATTTATGATGTTTTTTCTTATTTAATATTTATACCTTGATATAAAACTTTTATTTTTAATAAACTCGTGTAGTATACGAGTCTCACATCTAGTATAACAGTAATATAAACATTTTCATAAATGTAAAAATTCTCTTAAATTATTCGCGAAGCTTAAGGTGCGTTTGGTTGTTGAAAATTTTTCTGTTTTCTAGGAAATTTTTCCAAGAAAAACGGAAATTTTGAAAACGCGTTTGGTTCACAGTTTTCTAAAATTTTCCAAGAAAATGAAAATTTTCAGTTTTCCAAATTATATGTAAATTAGAAAAGTGATTTTTACGGTTTTCCAAAGTTTTCCAAATTTCTAAGATGGAAAATGAAAATTCCCCCGGTTTCAACCAAACACGTTTTCTACAATTTGCATTGAAAATTAAAAATGAACACTCAACTCTATTTTCTGAAACATTTTTTTAGGAAATGAAAACAATTTTCCACAACCAAACGCATCCTTAGGGTGCGTTTGGTTGTGGAAAATTTTCTAGTTTTCTAGGAATTTTTTTCAAGAAAAAACGGATATTTTGAAAATGCGTTTGGTTCGTTTAGTTTTCCAAAGTTTTCTAAGAAAATGAAAATTTTCAGTTTTCCAAATTGTATGTAAGTTAGAAAAGTGAGTTTTACAGTTTTCCAAATTTCTAATATGGAAAATGAAAACTCCACTGTTTCCAACCAAACACATTTTCATTAAAAACTGAAAATGAAAATTCAACTCTATTTTCTGAAAACATTTTATTAGGAAATGAAAACAGTTTTTCACAACCAAACGCATCCTTAGGATGTGTAAGGATGCGTTTGGTTGTGAAAAACTGTTTTCATTTCCTAATATAATGTTTTCAGAAAATATAGTTGAGTTTTCATTTTCAATTTTCAATGAAAATTTTAGAAAATATGTTTGGTTGAAACCGGAAGAGTTTTTATTTTTCATCTTAGAAATTTGGAAAACAATAAAAACCACTTTTTAATTTACATACAATTTGAAAAACTGAAAATTTTTATTTTCTTGTAAAATTTTGAAAAACTGAACAAACCAAACGCATTTTCAAAATTTTTGTTTTTCTTGAAATTTTTATTTAGAAAACCGAAATTTTTTATACACCAAACGCCCCTTTAAAATTTGAAAATATTCTTTAATTTAGTAGAAAAACTGGAAAAGCAAAAGCTTTGCATAAACGTGGCTATCTATTGGGGTTAGGTATCTTCTTAGAATCTTGAATAAAAGCCCACCAAGGCCCATAAGTAAGTAATGTGAAGTGTGAACAAATCCACCGATGAATTCGTGCCAACAAGGCAACAAACAATAATCAAAGTATCAAACTCGCCGGAGAACACAATGGTGTCTCTGCGTTTCCCATTCTCGTTTTCTCAGCCCGCCACAACGCGCGTCTCCGGCGCATTTTCACCTGCAAATATCGCTTGCTCCGTCGCCGTCTCTGCCGCTATCGGCGCTGGCATTTCTGCTGGCATTTGCTTATCACAAAACTCTACCAGTCCATCTCTTCATAACGCATTGAACTCATTGCTTTCCAATTTCTCACGCTCTTCTCCCCTATGGGGCTCACTATCTCTCTCCGACGGTTCCGGCGATGTGGTCACCGAATCAAAGACTGGATTTTCGTTTCCGGCAGTTTTGAAGGATTCTCAGGGGCTTCTAGGGATTGGATTGAGAAGAAAGGCCGTATTTGGGCTGAAGAACATCGATGTTTACGCCTTCGGTAATATAATTCTAGAAATTTTCTGCTCAATTAATAATGTGTTTACATGAATTTCGATGCCCTTGTTTCTTTCCGCAAATTCAAATTCAGTGATCGGAAACCTACGAAAGAACACTGAACTCCCTATTGGTTCTCATTTAGCTAGATTAGTGCACCAGTTATTTGCAGTTCTCTTTTTCAAAATTTTAAAAGATTGAAATTGATATTCAATTAAAAGGCAGGCGTCCACTTTTTGAGGGGTGTTTGAATGAGTATTTTGAAATGCAAAACAGCAAAACAACGATATAAGGGTATATAAGTAAATTGACTCATTTTACGGGAAACTGATAAGTGTAAGTTGTAACTTTAAGTCACAATAAAGAGTTTTAACACACATCCAAACACTCAGTTTTCTGGAAATATGTAAAAACCAAAGCAGTGAGCACCAAAACCATTCCTTCCAGCCATAATAAGTGTTTGATTGTAGAAATGAGAAAACAAAAAAATAGCAACATACTTTCATTTATATGTATAGTATATTATCCTACTTTTTCTTTTTTAATTACAACATCATGCTTTAAATTTATTTATTTATTTTTTCTTATCAAGGCATTATACTCTAAAAAAACCTACCCAATTACATCAATATACTTTAATTTCTTTGCTTATTAGAATACTTTCATGAGTGTTTGGTTGCACTTTTGCATAAACATTGGTTGAAGTAACTCTAAAACTGACAAAAAAAATATAAAAATGACCTTTCTAGGTGTATATGCGGATGATAGTGATATCAAGAATTTTCTAAGTGAGAAATACGGAACACTTTCAACCACTGAAGTAAAGCAGAAAAACATCACTCAAGAATTGATGGAAAGCGATGTTAGTGTCACAGTTAGACTGCAAATAGTTTATGGAAAACTCAGCATTCGGTCTGTTCGTATTGCATTTGAGGATTCTGTGGGAGACAGATTGAAAAAATTTGGAGGATCTGATAACAAGGAGTTACTTCAAAAGTAATCTCTTTTTTATTTTTCATCCACTTTTGTCATATGATAAAATTTGTTTACTTAAAAGCCGTTTTTATATTTGATTTGACAGGTTCACTTCTCAGTTTAAAGATGAATACAAAATCCCACGTGGATCTATCATAGACCTTTCAAAAGAAAAGGGCTACGTGCTCCGGACCACTAGTAAGTTCACATATTTTATAAATTATCACTACTTTTTGCAGTATGTTAAAAAGAAACACTCGTATTAATTAATATTGTTTTTGGTTCAAATCATGTAGTTGATGGCAAGGAAGTAGGAAGCGTCCAAAGCCAACTCTTATGCCGATCAATTTTGGATCTTTATATTGGCGATGAACCTTTTGATTCAAAAGCAAAACAAGATATTGATCTCAAGTTGGCATCCGCCGTTACAAAGTAATAACTGATTCCATATACATCGGAATCATCTTTTCTCCTTGCAAGCAAATATGTATGTAATGTATTGTGTATGGACTTTTAACCTATGCCGCTTTTTAATGTTTAAAAATAATGGTATGAGATGAATTAATAAATAAAGTTTTTTGGATTGAATAGTGTCTTAATTTTAACTTTTTAAGGGTTAAAGAAACAATGGTAACAGTTTGCATAGGTAAAAAGGCTAATATGTAAGATTTGGTAGAAATGAGAAGGGTATGTTATTGTTACACAAGAAGCTTACTTTCAACCAAATGCACAAAGTACTAGAAAAATCATGATCATGACGTGACAACGATACACATAATCAATGTGTGCACTACTCCTTCCTAACTTATACCATCTTTTATCATGAATTTAACAAACCCCAAGTCGGTGTAAAGAAAAAAAATGGTAAGAATGATGCTTTGTTTAGTGTTAATAATGATGATGAAAGGAGTGATGACCGAAGTGTATAACGTTGGGGATTCAGATGGTTGGACTACTCCTGTTAACACAAGTTATTCCAAATGGGCGTCTTCAAAGAAGTTTCATGTTGGTGATACTCTATGTAAGTCCCTCCCGTTTTTGAATACCAAAGAGTTAAAAAAGGTTTACGTTTGTAATTCTAACAAAAAAAAAAAAAAAAAAAATGTAATAATATGATTAAACATTTTGTAGGGTTCCATTATGACCCAGCGAGCCATAATGTGGTGCAAGTGAACCAGATGGGTTACCAGTTATGCAACATAAGCAAGGCACGTGTGGGTGTAAAAACGTATGAAACAGGGAATGATTCATTCAGAATAAAGGGACCAGGCCATTACTACTTTATTTGCAGCTTTCCGGGCCACTGTAAAGCTGGTCAAAAGCTGGATGTCAGAGTCCTCAAGAAGTACCCCATGACTACAACAACAACACCAAAAACGATAGCAATGGCACCGACCTCGCTTGCAAATGCTCTCTACCCTATTACCTCCTTATTGTTTGGTACCATTGTTAATTGTGCTGCAACCGCAATGTGGGTTGCTTAATTAGTTACTATTATTTGTCATGTTTTTGTTTAGCGTATTTTAATGTTGTTGATTTGTAGTGTACCACTGGTTTGGTTTTTTTTAATCCAGCTTTTTTTATTTAATCTCTTGGATTCATAAAATGTATGAACTAAAAATCTATTTGTTCATTTATTTATACTAGGAAAGTTAGAAGGACTATAATAATCACGACCCACCAGAATGGATTTATGTATTTCTTTTAATTATGTTATGGATTTATATCTTGTAAGAAGTTTAACTTGTTGGCTGCTTTGGAGAGTCTAAATATTACGGGTATGAAGTTTAACTTGAGGATTAGGTCAAAGAAAACTTGCTCCTTCAAATTCTTTATGGGTTATAGGTGATTGTAAGAACTTAGACATGGCAACGGCAATGATGAAGATTGATGGCGGGAGCGGAGGTAGGAGATGGATGGAGAAGACGGTGGTTGTGGATTATTTGATATGTATGAATCGCGAGGTGGCATGTATAGTGTTGAAGGGTTTCAATTGAGAAGAAAAACGGGGAAGAAGTGTCTATGTGGCGAAGGGATAACCGGGTTACCCTTTATTTTGTCCAAAGTGACAAATCACACCGAACAAAATAACTTTATGGCCCTATAAAGCACTAAAATTACTTAAGGGGGAAGAAGTGTTTATGTGGCAAAGGGATAACCGAGTTACCCTTTCATTTTGTCCAAAGTGACCAATTACACCCGACAAAAATAACTTTATGGCCCTATAAAGCACTAAAATTACTTAAGGGGGAAGAAGTGTTTATGTGGCAAAGGGATAACCGAGTTACCCTTTCATTTTGTCCAAAGTGACCAATTACACCCGACAAAAATAACTTTATGGCCCTATAAAGCACTAAAATTACTTAAGGGGTTATAAAGCACTTAAATTACTTAAGGGGTTAAATGATCAAATGTGCAAAACATCATAAGACTAATATGTTATTTTTCCCATAGAAAATATATTAAATTATTCATATTATAACAATATAACGGTAATTTAAATAAACAAAATAATAAAATAAAATAACCATCAAAATAGACGATGATATTTTTATACTTCCTTCGAAAAGACTAATTTATGAGTCTAAAAAATATTTTTAAATTTTATTTTTAAAACATCCCATAAGCTTTTTATTAAAAAATAAATAAATAAATAAAATGGGTATTTGGATAGTAGGATTGTTTTCAAAAGATTTGTAATATGTCAATAGATTTGCATTTGAAATGATTCATAAATAATATTTTCTATAGAGATAATCATAAAATATGAATAAATATTAATAAAAGTATTAAATTATACTTTTATTAATTAACTATCTATATGTTTTTTTAAACTACAAATTAAATTAAATTGTTATCAACATAAATTATGGATGTACTCTACTAAATTACGAAATAAAATACCGTGGAACATTAACAAAAATCCTTAATAACTATATTAAAAAATAATTACATGTAAATCTTTCAAAAAAAATATATATTACATGACGCGAACTAAGCCCCAAACACCTCAAAATTGCTTTAAATATTTCTTTTAGACATATTTCATCATTAAAATATTTCTTTTAGACATCAAACAGCTACAACTTTCTTCTTCATTGTCAAGAACTCTATATACCAAAAATGGAAAGATGAGGGAAGAAATTAAGGTTAGTCGAGCATCCGAACTTGTATTTTGGGCGTAAATATAGGTACGTGGGGCGTATGTGGCATAACTTGAAAAGCCTAATTTCAATGTTAGACACTATATATTCATCATTATGGCCTAAGAAACCTTCATTTCTCAGCCTCCTCAGATCCTTAAACATCATATTCGAAACCCTAAGCTTCTCTATTGCATTTTGAGCTTGTAGTGTCCATTTTGGTGTATTTTGACCCATTTTCAAGAAGAAGAAGGTTGGTGCAAGGTGATGGATCAAGGAAGAGCATGTGAATCTGTATTATCTACTCCATTTCTTGTTTTTTAAAGGTATAAAGCTCTGATCTTATTTTTTAGAAGCTTAGATCTTCGTTGTTTGAGTTTTGGACCCTTTTGGTCCCATTGAAGAGATCTAGTGGTTCCACTCCAGGAGCTTAGAGTTGCCACTCTTGGTGTTTTTATGGTTTTAGATTCATAAAGTTGTCATCTTTAGGGCTTAGAATCCTCCATGCATGACTGATGGCCATTTTATGAAAGTAGAATGTTATACTTTCAAAGTTGGGATCTTTTGGGGCATGCAAAGTCACCAAGTCAGTGACGTTATGCTTCTAGACACTTTTTGGGACTCGGATATGTGGTTTGAACCTTTGAACTTAAGCATTTAGAGCTTAATGGAAAAGTTTGCTTAATGGATGGGTATGTTGGGCATACAAGTATGTACGTGCAGCGTACAAGCCATACAATGTGTACGGTTCGCGTACATTTGAGTACGCCCCGCGTACTTGGCTTGTTGGGCTTCGTATCTTTTAGGCCTCGGATGGGCTACTTCTTTGGACCTTGCTGCTTTTGGCCTAAATATGCCATCTGAAATCAAGCTTTAGACTAAGGAAATTTATTAGGCTTTAGGGTAAGGCCCATATAGGGGGTTTAGGCTCGATTTGGAAAATTAGGCCATAAGTGGGCCTTGAAGGATTATTTGGTATTGGGCCTTTTAGATAGTGGATTTGGGCCTTAGTCTTGGATCAAGCTAGGTTAAGGGTAAAATGGCAATTTTAGCCCAAGTATATGTTGCTATGTAACACTTGGGTTTCATTATATATCCAATAACCCATACTTGGGTAACCCGGTTATCCCTTTGCCACATAGACACTTCTTCCCCCTCAAGTAATTTTAGTGCTTTATAGGGCCATAAAGTTATTTTTGTCGGGTGTAATTGGTCACTTTGGACAAAATGAAGGGGTAACCCGGTTATCTCTTTGCCACATAGACACTTTTTCCCCCTTAAGTAATTTTAGTGCTTTATAGGGCCATAAAGTTATTTTTGTTGGGTGTGATTGGTCACTTTGGACAAAATGAAGGGTAACCCGGTTATCCCTTTGCAACATATACACTTCTTCCCCCTTTTTCTTCTCAATTGAAACCCTACGACACAATACATGCCACCTCGCGATTCATACATCAAATCACCCACAACCACCGTCTTCTCCATCCATCTCCTACCTCTGCTCCCGCCATCAATCTTCATCATCTCCGTTGCCATGTCTAAGTTCTTATAATCACCTATAACCCATAAAGAATTTGAAGGAGCAAATTTTCTCTGCCCTAATCCTCAACACCTCCAACAACTCCCTTCAAGCTTTGTTACTGTCGTGCAGGTTTTAATCAATACCTCACTGATATTGGTAGAACCTTGGTTTCGATGTCGGGACCTCTTGGAGCTCTGGTGCGTTGTCATATGAACCATCGTTGCTCTTGCCATGCTCTAGTTACTTTTTATACGATTTGTAAGATTTATAGAGCAATCAATATCTTCGATTATGATGATTGATTTTTGACTATTTTCATAAGTAACTTTTAGAGTTCTAAAATTGTTTTTACCTCTGTTAAATCAAGCTCGTAAATGACAGGATTTCGTTTTCCAACCATGATCTCTGGCGAGGCTTTGTTATTGGGTTGTGCTCTCCATAACAACATTGGGAAAAAGTGGGTGATGATCGATCATAGTGAGAGCAGGAACTTGATCAAAGGTCATCGGAGTTAAAGCTAGGTATCTTCGATCTCATGTGTGTGCATGTGTTTGTTTTGTGGTGTAAACGGAGGTGAAATAAGTGGTTTTATAATAGAGAAAGACTTATAAATAGTCCCACACGTCCAAGTAGACAGCTACGTGTTGGCCACATCACAATGATTGGACATCCACATATTCTTCAATGATTGTGTGTCATAGTGGACAAGTTATTGTAGGTTAGAGGGACAAAATAAGCAGGTCGACATCCATTTTGTTCCATCATAAAACACGAAAATAACTTAAGGGAATGAATGGACAAATGTGCAATACATAGTATGGCTAATGTGTAATTCTTCTTTTTTTTTTTTTTTTTTTTTTTTTTTTTTTTTTTCTATTCTAACTTTTAATATACAAAGCTTGATATAAATTAGAATATATGGTTGAGACCGTATGATTGTTATCTACATTATGATGCGAACTTTTAAACGTCTCATCTCCAAAAGAAAGATATGTTAATTTTTGGTCATTTTCACTAAGAAATATATGTTTTTATAGATATTTTATAGCAATGTAATCAATCATTTTTAACAAAAAAAATCGCCAGATTTAATTGTAATTTTTATTTATATTATATTTTAAGAAATACAAATTTATAAATTAAACAACTTTATATAAATAGTTATTTTTGATTTTGATTATATTTATACTATCGATATCCAAATTCTTGCTCCACGGTTGATTTGAACATTTACTCACAACTATTTAATTGTATAATTATATTCCTTTCACAGTGCTTGAGATTATATTTTATAATAGTGTATTAGAGCTATAAGAAAACTAGAAAAGGATCTAAGTTTTAGGTACCGTAGAGCCAAATTGGTAAATTTTAAATATCAGGGACTGAGTTTACAAAAAAGTTAAAGATTGATGGCCTAATTGTACATTCCTCTATTCTAAATTATAGGAGGATCCGCCCGCCTGAAGAAAGAGAGCTAAACTAATCGGGGCGGCCGGATGATGGCGGGAACGGGTGCCTCTCCTTCCTGCATCTTCTGTCAGATTGCTTGCAATTCCACCACCACCACCCTCCTTCACACCGTCTGGCCTCTCTCGCTAACTGGCAGTTTTTGATATTGACATTTATGTTCCTTGATTTCGATAATTTACTTGTTATTTGATATGTGTGACCTTTTGATTTGTGCAGGATGAAAAGGTTGTAGCGTTTCAAGACATTAATCCTTCAGCCTTTAGGTACTTAATTTGGTTTGTTTTATCCTCAAATTTCAATAATTTAGGTTGAAAGTTGTTTTTGGTACTCAATTTGATTCGGACTATGCGTATGCGTATGATCAGATCGCATGTTATACATTACTCTTTGTGAATTTATTTATTCGTTTGTTTGTTTGCGCTAGGGTCTGATTTTGCTTCATTAACAGAGTGAGTTTTTGAAAGTAGGCTTAGAACAAGTGTTTTCTTGGTATATCATTGATTTTATGAATATGTGAGCACTGGAGTTAAGAATGAGTGTAGTGCAGTGCAATTTGTATTCTTATTCTTTTTTAATCGAGTAACAATCTATTAGTTGAAGATTTAGATTTTAGAGTACAAGGGTTAAATGGGTTTTGAAAGGTGATCTCAATAAGATATGTAAGAGCTTGAACCTAGATGATGAAATATACTTTTTAGTTGAGTGTGATGAATGCTGTTTATTTTTTGCTTGTACGCAGTTCTGGCTTCAGGTATTCAGGTTCATTTTTTGTTGACCTAGCTAGCTATGATAATGATGAGTAACATTCAAAAACCTTTGGTATCAAGTATTAACTTATAATCAATCCCCATTCATGCTTTTT